ACCGCAGGCAGAGATTGATCAAAGCGTATTATAAATGAATGAATGTAGCCTTCCGCTGATAACTACCTAACACAGACAAATTATTGATGGGAAAACATAGTCTTCTGTATCATCAGTATGAGTTATCAATTTGTACTCAAATGAGAACTCCCTGAAGACCAAATTTAATGAACTGATATCGGCCGACTCCTGAGACTATTTTGAATGGAGGTTGGCTACACTAATCCACACCTCCAATGTGCTTCAGGAATCGTTCAGTTAATAGCGTTGATGGGCAAACGAAAACTGGATGCTAATTATTCTGTTTCGGTAGTCAACTTGGAATGTTGGAGTATCACAAACTCAGTTGTATTAAGAACGACAGCCAAACTTTAGAAGTGTTTGTAGCACACAGAGGCACATAGACGAAACTGAGATCTGTAATGTTCCAAAACTAGTGGATGTAGGTGGCGACACTCCAGAATCAAGGAGGTAATTGCAATCTTCCTAAGTCACCAATTAATTTCTCTTATGGAAATAAGTTTTATTTTGTTGTTAAAATTGCTAACTTGATTACCGCCCATGTTTAGAAGGCATGAGTTGGAAAAATTGAATTACCCTTGTGTCCGCTGCTTCTTAAGCCGAAGGCTTAGTAATGACTTCAATCTCCATCTGTGCCGTGGTTGTTGCACAAACTACTTACTTCAAAAGTCCTGTATGTGTCACCTGAATAAGCCTGCCTTCTGCCAATATGAGACTATGGATAACCAAAATCTGCAATTATGAAACAACAAGTGCTTTCCAATTTTTTCCGTGACTACAAAATGCACTCGTACAAATTAGCCACGAAAGCAGTTTTTGCTGCCTAATTAAGACGACTATTGCTGAGAGACTCTCAATGGACGGTCGAACAATGAACTTAAGCACATCACATCAATTGCAAACCAAGTTTTGAGTCAAGTGTGTGCACATATTTCTTTGTCCCAAAAAGTACTTTTAACTCTTCAGCCAAAGCAAATTAACTATCCCACAATTCAGTGACAATGCACACTTCGGGAGCTGCAGCACCCACAAAATCAAGCACACAGTTAAACAAGAAGTCAAATCGCAGCCACAGAGAATTGTTTCTTACCCTACCTTGGTGCGTGTTGTGAACTGCCTAGTAACAGGAGAAATCGAGTACAAGATATTTGCAGTAATAAAAGTCAGCTTTCATTCGATGACTACCCTCGTTCGGAAGTCAGATGGAACTGCACTGGTATCAGATAACTCGCGTGCATCTCTCCCAATCGTCTCGTTCCTGCTAGCAGTAAATAGCCTCCTCCATTGATGTGCAGACTCGGGTAACTTCAACAAACCAATTCAAAAAAAACAGAAAGATGATAGTCGTCACATCAATGAAATTGCCCGACTAACACAGCCGAAATATGACTTAACCCTAAAACAACACGATTTGCGCAATCTCTTCATCGTCACTTAGCATGAGTGACATCTACCTGCTGTCCACTGGTTCTCATGCCTTCATACTCATTAGTTTTATAGAGTGACCGTGATTAATTACATTTTCCATTATTGTGAACTACACAAATTCCAGTCCCGTCCATGCTTTCTTTGACGACTGCCTCGACATTACCAATCACAGATATATGTGAGAAGGGAAAGTCGTTTGGACTAGGTAGAGTGGAATGGTTTGAAGTGGATTTGAGTGGAGTAGGACAGGGTAGAGTGGTGTAGAGTGGGAGGCGCACACAAATGGAAACACCTTAACGGACTGTATTTCCTTCGTAAGTGTGTAGAATGTGCGCAGTGTATTCTGTGTCAATTTTACTCAGTGCATCGATTGAGAGAGTGTGTTAATGAATATCTATTTACGAGAATGAACTGAATATGACGAGAGAGCGGCAAATTACTTGATGGTAGGACGCTCCATTGAATATGATGCCACGAGGCTTGCTTTCAGGCATGTAGTTGCTTCGCATTTCTTCCCGTTGTCCTTGTTCTTTCCTTTCCACTTTTGCCTCCTCATCCTTTTCCAAACCTCCTTCCGCTTCCCCCATTTCTGCACTTTAATTTGACATTCTCGTAGGCACTGTGGTTCCAGTACTATATGAGTGAGACAAATCATAGGCTATGATGTTAATTCAAGTCAAGCCAACACTCCTTTCGCAACTTCATGTTTTTGCCGCATAAGATACAATGGGAAACCCTAAGCAGACGACAAATTTTCATTACTTTATTCATGTTGTGCATTCAAGAGAACTGGGATTGGCCTCCCAACTTTCGTCACTCAAAGCTGACGAACTGGCGACAGATGTGGGTTTGTGTAGTGGCCTGTTGCAGTTGGAGAACTATAGCGTGGGTGATGGAGCAATAAGCTGCAGTCAGTTCAATCAGTTGAAGTCACATCGAAGTACTCGCCCTATCTCATGCTCTCTTAACAGACTACATCACAGCGAATTGAAGATTAAGTTGGACATCTGTAGGGAGCTGTATTTGCCACGTCATAAAACAAGCAGCAAAAGAGTCGAATTGGAAACCCTGTCTCCTGGCACAGTCACAAACTATCCTACTCTTATCTGCTACTCGGCAACGCTCTCTAATGCTTGTCCTTGAACTTGTTGCAACTTGACGTCCACCTATAGTTGAAAACATTTCCTAATCCCCTTCCCTAGCAAGTCACGTCCTTGACAATGCTCCGTGCGCACAGTTAATGACACAATTTAGGAGTGAAAAGAAGACCCTTGGGTCTCTTTTACTCAACCAGCAATCGCATAGACGCTGTCCTACAACCCATGCTTACACATATGCCTGTGCCTGCAAAAGAGACGTGCACATGGAAGTCTTTATGTCCTAGCTACCCAACACCACATCCTAAATTATGAGTCCGTTTGTAGGCAGTTTGAACCTGCTGAGCTCAAAGCAACTTCTGTCACTTTACCCACTTTGCATCTTTCGATCCTCCACGCTTCAAGCCAGTAAATTCACGCATCACTACTACTCATTTCTGCACTAAATCATATTGAATTGTCATTGTGAATGTCGAATGCTGAGTGAGGGATATGAAATTACTTCTGCATGAATTCATTGCTATTTGCCAACAAACCGGCAATTTGATCAAAATACTCCCACCACTATTCACAAAACTTGTGTGATTAGATGCAATGCAAAGCTGTACTTACTGTGCTCTTGTGAGGTCTAATCTACTCTACGAGTCTTTAGACGTGCTACCCATAATCGGTCCCCGTTGCATAGGCTAGGAATGGATGGCGTCTGTCCACATAACTACACAGACGCAGGCAAAGCAATTGTCCACATTGTCACTCCCTCACTTTGTTGTAGTCGTGCGAATGCACAGCCCAGAGAAGCATAGAAAATGGAGACTGCTCGAATCATTTCAGTGCAATATTCTCTCCATCGACGAGTTCGAATGAAACCACTGAATTCGACAGCAGAATCCGACTGCGTCGAATAGAAAAGTTGCGACATGTGGTGATGGTCGTAAGTGAAGCATATGTCATGTGTAAACCTCTGACCGTAGTTTGAAGGAGTCTTTGAGTTCCACACTTTGAAGGCCAAATCATAAGTAGGGGAAGGAAAGATGGCATGTGCGTGGATAGGTAATTATACTTCGTGTCATATTGGCGGCTCAATAAATAGCTGGTGCCTAAGGAGCAGTCATCTTTCATTACACATGCTTGTCACAGACACATCCATGAACATTAGCACTCCGACCTAACAGTGACTAATCTCGTGTTCTTGTTGTTCCACTTAAGTCAATGGAAACTATTCATTTCACAGTTGATGACGGGCTACGATTTGATGTCATTGGCGAAATGAATGTGAGGTAGGTGTTCAGCTAGTGTTACGAGGTGCTTTGCTCTTCTATTAGCAATTAAGGAATAAACCTGCCACCTAAGCTTTAGCATCACTTTCATTCACCACACTCATTTGGAGATGCTTCACCAACCTCTCGCCAATGATCATCGCCTCTACGTGATGGGGAATACTGTTGGACAATAAAAGCGAGATGAATGCGAAAAGGTTACGGACTAGATTTAGCTTGGGTGTTGCAAAAATTGTGCAGTAGAGGTGGGATCCTCAGGGACCTTTCAATTTCTGGGGATAAGTTCGTGGAATTCACCACCTTCTCTCCCGTCAAGTGAAATACAACAGAAAGTCTTCCTCCATTATTTGTGCTCCGTTTTACAAATTGCGCTGCGTGTTGCATGTCCTACTAGTTGCTGTTTTGTTTAGGTTAACTGTAGACATTGAGTATTTGATGCTCAGACTATTGCAGATGTACGAGAGGTTCAATGGACAGTTGAGGGAATTGAACTGAAGGGGTCGCCGTGCCAACGAGAGAGAAGGAAGCCTCAAATATCGACTTAGGCGTCCATCCAGCTAAATGTTCAAGCAAGGCAAGCACCATCCGTTTGCAGCATTAGCCTATACTCGAACAATATATGCTGCCTTAACCATCTGCTTTAACTTTAAGCTACTGCATAAATTGATAGACATAATGATAATCTTCGCATGTTAGCAATCATACATCTGTTTAAGTGATAGTTTGCTGCAAAACAAGGTTGCAAAGAGAGAACAGAGTTGTATTGATGCCATGATTAACATCGAAAGGTAATATGAAGCTGCTGCTGGGAGAAGTGAGTGCAACAATGGGTAGCGCGATGCTTGCCGAGGAAGACTTCCTATCACCTGTAATGAATAGACGAGTAGAAGCTCTCTAGCAGGCATTCTGGCACAGGTTTGGCCTCAGTGTCTCTCGAATATATTTTCCTAATTTGAGATCTACATGCACACTGATTGCGGTAACACAAATAGCCCCTAGGGCATCTTCTGCAGCTGCATTAAAAGATAAATGGCTTTCGTCCAACGTAATTTCCTCTGGAGGAATGAAATTAGACATTGCAAAATGCAGTGAAGTGGTGTTGATGAGCAAATGCGGACACATGCAACATGCGGAGGCTTGTACTGACAGGCTGTTAGATATTGTGGATTGGGCCAGTGAGGTCTGAGGCCATCACACTGCCGCATGGCAGAGCCCACTTGACTGGAGGTGGCCCACACCAGCTGTTCAA